CCCCCAAAACCCCAAAACCCCAAAACCCCAACACAGTCCACCAACTTGAAAACTAAACTTCTACTTCTAAAACCCCTCTTCCTATCCCCTATGCACACTTCTTCACCCTTAAATCCCTACTCTATCCCTTCAACCCACCTAAAATCCTCAAAATTCTTCTAAAATCCCCCCTTGGCTTCCTAAAAATTCTTCTTGGCTTCACATCCAAATTTTCTGGTTGCCAAAACCACAAGTGGGACTATATTTCTTAAGGAATTCCCTTGCCCCAACACATTTTGGAGAAGCATAACATTTTAATATTCTGTACGGGGAGTTAGAGCAGAAGAGGAGACATTTGGTATAAACCTCTGTTCTTATTCAAGTTCCTAGGGATTAGACGAAGAGAATACCTCAGAGCTTTCCTGGTGACGGCCATGTAGCTGTTGAAAGGTCCATCAAGCTATGTGGTGAGGTTTAGAGCATACATCTGAGCAAGCGTTTGTGAAATTAGAGATGTTTTGGTCCTTTTGAGATAACCCTTGAGATTTAATAGTCTACAGTTAACAGTCATTTTTACATAATCTGATGCTTGAGTGACTTTCTCAACACCTTCTTGTTTACTGTTTTTACATGAAGTGCTATTTTTACTTTTCTTAAAGCCTTTGAGGTTTGGGTATCCAATCTAAAGTATGATTAAAACGAAGCTAGTTAATTGACTTATATCGGCTCATAAATTGGAAAATAGTGAACAGTATGCTACATTAGCACTTAAAATAAGACCAAAATATGCCTATAAATATAAAATGTTTTTACAAGTATTAGGTAAAATTTAGCTTTCCATGAACATTTTCCTTCCTAAAACAATACCTACAGAGACAAAATTTCTGCTTCCAAACCTGGAAGACTTTCTATCTCGCCATCAATGAAGGCTTTAAAGAAGAGGGAATCGATTAATATAAAGATGAGCTATTCGTACAATAATAAAAATGTAAAGATGACAGAAATTCATCAATGCTAATTTTCTGTATTAAGAAGTAGTCAAGAAAACCAGCTCTATCTCTCCCTATTGGGCTACATAGAAGCTAGGAATTTTAGAAAAATGGTTCCTAATTCAGCTTTGTAAGAAAGTTTAGAGAATCAATAAAAAATGTACAAATTTTGAATTATTTAAATCATCCAGAGAAGAAGACAGTTTGTTCTTGGGTGGTTTAGACAAGTATTCTTTATACCCTAAAAAACTACTAAACTCCAAATTCAAACTCCAAATCTCCATTCCACTTTCCAGCCTTCAGAGCTCCTTTGCCCTGCTAGACCTCAGCCAGCCCCTATACGTACGCGTGATATAGCCTTCTCGCTGCTTGGGCTAGTAATCCTAGCCTTTGAGCTAGGCTTAGAGCCTAGCTTGAAGCTAGCTTGGATGAACTTGGCCGTGTTGAAAGATCGGGTCGATGACAGCTTTTTCTTTGGCATTTTTGGATAGGCCAAGCGGGATTTTTGGCCGAGAGTTTTGGAATATTTGTGAAGTTTTGGATTCTTGCGAGGTTTGTGAGGTTTTAAGGTTTTGATAAGGTTTATCTGGCCAATTTCGTAGCCTAAAGGTGAGCAAGGGTGGGTACTTTTACGGGATTTGAATTTGGAGGTATGGGATAATGGGGTTTGGGACAGGTTACCATTCTTCGTTACATCCTTAGCTCCTCTAACCTCCACTCTCAACCTACTCTGCAAATCAATCGTTCATCCTAAACTCTTAAAATCCTCATCCTACTCCTTGTTTCCCTCCTTGGCATCTTAAAGCTCATCCCAATGCTCTTGTTAACATTGCTCTTCTTCGAGCTCTAAATCCTTGCGTTACCTCATAATCCCTTTCGAAAAGTCTGAAATTTACCTTCCTAGAAGTAGCCCTCTTCTTGGAGGAGATTTTGGCACTTTCATTCAGCCAGAATTTTTGTTGGTAGTCTAGTAATTTATTTCTGCTTTTTGTGTTTTTGGACCTTGGATTTGAGTAATTTGGAAGACATGGTTGAAATGTTTTGGATGAATTTGCTGGTGAAGTTAGATGGTAGTCTTTTTGACTTTTTTAGGACTTTTTTATTTAAGCTTCTTTTGTGGACTAGGAGACTGTGGTTTAGAGGTTTTATCACTAAGTGTTTCAGAGCAAGAGGAAGAAAAGCTAATCTCGTTAGGACATAGCCCATCAGAATCCTGAAAATCTTCAAAATCAAGATTGATATTCTCCACTCTTGTATTTCTCTTGGTCTCTCTATAATAAAATTTTGCGTAATTTTCCCAATTTACCGTTAAGTAAACAAATACCAATGAGAAAAATGTTTCTAAAAGTGAGCTTACCTGGTTAGTCTCTGTACAGCGAAGTTATATTGCTTTGAGGAAGGTTCTAGTTCCTCCAAATATGCCTTATAATAGTCATCCTGAACGTGTTCACTGACACTATCGCTCTCGACTTCCGTCATTAATCAATAAATTTATTAATATTGGGGTTTTGGGGTTTTGGGGTTTTGGGG